ACCGTGTGTTGTAAAATTACACTGATTTGATTCTCATTATGAAAAATTGCAAAAGGTGATTTCAAGAAAGAATCCACATTTGACATTATGAAAATATATAAACTGATTCTGTGTGACACCAGGTTGGTCCACAATTATTACACAAACCAGGTTTGATACCAGCGTCTCTCTTGTCTAGAAACATTCAAACATAATCTTGGAGAAGGGCAAAGGTAAAATGAGTGAATCAAAATTCAATTTTTTTTAATCACAGTTTTTTTTTGATTTTATGCAAAACACGTCAACCTTCAGATACTGACGTCACTTTGACTTTACTTTATTTATTTTGTAATCAGCTTAACTCTCTCTGGGGGTTTGACTTTAACAACCAGTGTCTGTTCCTTATATCCCATCTATGGTTGATGATGAGGGTTGATACCAGGTCAGGACAGAGTTCATACACACCATGTGTTTCAGATCAGCTTCAGCTGTGTGACAGTGATCTAACAAAATTTATGTTGAGGCAAAAAAAAAAAAAAAAAAACCCCATCAAGCCTCATCTCCACACCACGTTCTCAGTGCTCCCAGCAGGGTCTGGGGGTGTGACTCTGGTTGTGATTATGACTCTGATTCAGAGGTTTAGACTTCGTCTCAGAGCCACAGCACAGCTAACCCTCTGAGGTGGAGCGGAGGAGCCAGTGCAAATCCAATCATTAACACATTGTGTTGCTGACGTTTTGTTTTCCTATTTTTAAAACGCTGGTGTGTGGAGACGCGGTCGTATCCGTGTCTTCAGGAGGTGCACAGATCCACGGTCTACATTTCAACACTCCACCGCACCATCACACCCTGGTGGAGGTCGACACTGAGCCACATGACGGTCTGTGCTACACCCGTTGCCATGGAAACAAGTCGGGCTACCTAATGTACCTGAACCGTGTCCACACATGACTGATGGAGACACGTGAGACTTCCTAATGCATGTCACTCCATTCATCCGGGTTTTTTTTTCCTGTTTCTTGACAGTAAAGACGAGACACCTCCGACAGCAGGAACTGTACATCACGTCAAACACAGCAACATCTTAATGTCATCTGTGTGAACGCAGAGAAAGACCAGGATGGAGAATATCTCATACCAAAAATAGATCCACAGACCAGCAGCTAGATAATGACTTCCTTTGTCAAAACTGTCTCTGGTTCAAATGGTAAAAACGACAGCAGAATATTTTAATCCAATAAGTCTCAAAGTTGGTATCACCGAGACATTACTTTTGTTTTTATGGATTTCAGTAACAAGGTTGGACACAATAGTGCAGCATGTGTAAATTGTTAAAACTGCAATAAAAAAAAACAAAAACACATTTTTGGCTTTTTCATTATGAACCGTATGAATTTCTTACAAACCCAGGGATCTCCTAGTGTCAGAGGTCATGACCTAAAAGGTCATTCTTGTTGCTTCTTTCAAGGAATTTCAAATCAGTGCAGATCTAGGAAATGTTCAAATATAACACAACCATAAACGCAAACCAGATGTGTCTTAAAACAATTGACTATCTTTTGTGTTTTCAGGGGAGGTGGGGGGGGGGGGTTTACTAGGGTCTGGTGATTAATGTAGTTGGCAGGTTAACAGGTTAAATTAATAGGTTTGTGCAACCAAAACTGAGCATGAGCAAGCTGGATGAATCACATCCTCCAAAATGACTGGTCCAAAAACCAAACCAGTCTTGTATTGAAATGATGCTGGTGTTCGAACGTGTCACTAGTTCAACCTGGACCCATATCTACCTGCTCCCCCAGCCCTGATTCGAACCCTGATCGAACTATTTCTGCTGCTGTGTATCACAGTCCACTCATCTCTGAGGGGTTCCAGGTTAAGTACTAGTGCAGTAGTAACAGTAGTAACTGCAGTAACAGTAGTAACAGCAGTAGTAGCTGCAGATCCATGCTTCAGATTTGGCCATTGCAAGTATCCGAATTTCTTACCGGTGTTGTGGGTCACGGGGCCACCGCCGTTGTGGCCGAACAGGGTAGCGTGCAGGTCCGGGTAAGCCTTCTCCAGGGCCACACACAGGTCCAGGAAATGGTCGCTCTCCTTGTTGACCAGCATCTTCAGGAGGTGGTCCACTTTCTCGGTGCTGGAAGAACAGTTCTGGTCCAGCTCGAACCTATCGAGCTGACTCAAGGTCCCTGAGACGATCAGCAGCTCTATGAGCCGGTCCGCGTCTGTGATGGACTCCAGTAAGTTCTGGTGGCACTGGTCGAGCAACTCTTTGTGCTTTGGCTCCATTGCTCTGCCTCTGAATGTAGTTCCGTGTAGCTCCTGCCTCAACAAAACGAACCGAGGGGACGTTTTCAAAATGCCCTCAAAGACCCAAAGTACCGAGTGAACTTATCGAAGCGGTTTGCACAACTTGGCCGGAGCCAGGAGAGCTAATTTTCCGAGCATTTTTCCAAAAGGCACACGGAGCCATGTTTGTTGCCCGGAGCTGTTTTCTGCTCTAAACAGCGGAACATTTTTCCCATCGTTCTGGCGTCAGGGCGGACTGTTACCGTGGCGTCCGCTCAGAACGAGCTCCGGTCCGGACACATTATCTCCGTCCTCCTCTGCAGGAGGGTTTTACGCCAACTACTAAACGAGGGGAAAAAAAACTCCCGTGAAGAAGTCCTCCTCTGCTGCTGGTGGTGCCAGTGCTGCTGCTGCTGCTGCTGCTTCCGCCGCCGCAGCTTTACTCTGCCTCCGCCGCCATGTCTAAGACTCTGAGCAGCTGCTGCTGCTGTCAATCAACGATCTGCCACGGCTCCATATATGGTTAAAGGGGCGGGGTTTAGAGATTCGCTCAAAAACACGCCCGTTTCTTCAATGGGCGGACACACACGTACAACGTGTAGTGGAGTACGATGAAAATGTCAGGCGGAGCAAGAAACACTGAATGGAGAGAGGAAATGTTAGGGATTTTAAAACGCAGATACTTTTGTTCTGTGTGTACAATATTTGGTTAACGACATATATATGTACATACATGAGCAGAGTTATGGAAACAATGGAAGAGAATATAACATTAATATAAATAATAACACCCAACATTTAGTTATCATTTTAAGACAAATAGTAAATCAAATTATTAAGACTTCCAGATAACAGCCACAGTTTGGAGGGTTTTTTTCCTCACGTTTCTCTTTGGTCAAACGGAAGGAGTGGGAGGAGCCAATCCCTGCAGTCATTGGACTGGAAGTATGGGGTACCACACATGGAGACACACAACCATTCACACTAAAACACTTTTGATTTTAATTGGTGATTACATTTCCACAGTGATATAAAGGCAAATTAGCTCCAGGGTTTGTTTGTTTTTAAGCCTGTTTTGATCCCAGGTTTGCTGAGATCCAGTACATACTTGGTTGATCAAGGAATCCCTTCTCTGTAGTTGTTATCTTCTTGATACAGAAAAGTCTGATTCATGAAAAACAAGTTTTTGAAAATCGTTCTCATTTCCCCTTCAAGCTAGCCTTTCACGCTCATCTTCTCCAGCTTTGTCATCAAAGTCCTGTTCGTCCTTTTCTCCTCCATGTACAACTCTTTGGTGGCCTTCAATTTGTCCAACAACTTCCCATTTTCCTCCTTGTTCTTGAAAGCCTCCTCCTTGGCAACACTGAGCTCCTCCTTCAGCGACTTGATCTCCTCATTTCGTGCCCTGATTTGCTCTTTGACACCATTGATGTCGTTCAAATGTTTCACCATCTCCCTGCACTGCTGCTCTATCTCAAAGATGATGCACTCCTTGTTCACCAGGTCCCTCGCCGTGGAGTGCAGTTTCTTCTGCAGCTGCTTCGTCAACCACAGGTTCTTCTCCAGCCTCATGTCGTCGGGCTTGTTCTTGGTCAGATGTTTGGTCTTCTGGATCCTCTGAAGTCTCTCCATCTCCACCTCGATGTAAAAGATTTTGGAACGAAGTTCAGAGAACTGCAGCTCCAGGTAGTCCTTGGAGTCTCTGCTCTTCTGTCTCAGCTCTGCGCACTTGGCCTCGTAGTACGGCAGCTTCTCCTCTGGGGGGAGCCGTTTGTGAGACAGGCGGCGCAGTTGCAGCTCCAACAGCAGCAAAGCCTTTTCCTCTTTCTTCCACTTGTCGGCGACGTACTGCGTCTTCTGAAACATTTTCCTCAGGGTGCTGAATTCTTTCCGCAGGAGACCGATTTCTTCATCTTCATTTGCGTCTTCGTTTGTATTTTCGTCCATACTTTCCTCCTCTGATGCGTGTAACTGTTGTTGATCTGACATCTCAGATAATAAACCTGCATCCAGCTCACTGAAGCCAAAGGAGCTTAACATTTCAAACGCAAAAGCCGCCATTTTTGTACTTGACACCGAACTCTCTTTCCTTCACATGAATTTGCGTGCACAGTTTTAGAACATGTGACAGTCTGCCATCCTCAGAACCAAACATGTGACATCAGGCACCACATCATACATGACATGATGTCCTTTGATGTATGACCACGTGTTTACTTTGATTTTTTTTCTTCTTTTTTGGGGGTTTTAATGGCAGTTAGAACTGATTTTGTTGCAATACTGCCACCATCTGGTCATGTCTGTCACCAATTACATTAAAAATGTACCAAAAATAACGGTTTTTGTTTTATGTCTGTACAGAATTAACTCGACCAACGTGGCTGTGACATCATTATCAGCTGTGTCACGTGGTATATGGTTACCCTGGTGACCACGATGAAATTATGTGTAAAGGATCAGAAGCTGAAAAAAAAACCATGATTTGAAAAAAATCAAATGTCCATTTGTTTCAGTTTCCAGACCTCCATGAACCTGCCTTCATATCAGGGCTCAGTGATGAATATTTGATCAGAGCACGTGGCGTGTGGTGCAGGATTCTGGTGGTTTGGTTCTGTTCAGTTCGTAAAGCTCCGTCACAGCAGAGGGACAAAGAAGGTCAATGTCAGAATAAGACGAAGTGCATGTGTGAATGAGGTCAAGGTCTGGTGGACAGTAAGTAAACCTTCAGACCTTTACCACAGTCTGTACCGACAGCCTTAACTCATCTGTTCACATACAACACCTGACACCATCATCATCATCATCATCATCAATGGTCAAATCCAAGGTTGTCAGATACACACACTTTAAATGTCATTCTGTAAAATTAAACGTAGGTCCAAATCGCAGCAGGTCTTTATTTTATCATCATCACTTCCTGTTCAAGTCCATTTTAAACCAGACCTGATCAGACTCTGGTTCTAGTGACAGACGTACCAGACTTCATCTCATGTGTCTGTGGTACTTTAATGGATGTCATTGATTCACCAGGTTGCCTTTCCTGTACCCCCCCGCCCCCCGCCCCTCCCACCTCAACATCACAGAGATATTGATTGTGGTACAGTTAACATGCACTGTGTTGTACTGTAATCAATGAAGGTACTACACTGCACAGTTACATCATCATCAGTTACATGGTTGATAAGAAATGGAAGTCACATTTCAACTGTGCAACAAAGTCCTGTTTTTAATATTAGGAAAGAAAAAAAAGCATACCTAAAACCAACTGTTTACAGAAAAGATTCCAGATTCCTAGCGGTTGATGACGCCCTCTATTGGCGATAACCATTAACTGAAGTTTTTTTTCGGCATTTAATCTGAGCATTAAATAATGTAGCATTAAACTTTGACGATCTATTCGTGGTTGGTGTTAACGTTTCAGGCTGTATTCAGAGTGTTCTCAGTTTCAGACAGATTTCTATCGGTCTGTTTGTATTTATTGTATTTTGTCATACATCCCAGAATTTAGATTCCGTTTTAATTGAATACTTCTTTTGCTTATATGTAGAAAAAATATATCACATTTCCCACAGTGTTTTCCTTTTTTAATTTTTTTTTAGAGCATTGTCAAGTTAAAAAAATCACATGATACGTACGAAAAGTAATGCTGTGCTGTAGCAATAAAGTATATGTAGGTAACGCACGTGATGACTCAACATTCAGGTTGTATTTCTAAGTACACTAGATTTGCGATAAACATAAAATTGTAAAGACAATTTATAGTATAAACTTTGCAACAATACATTTGCAAACAATGACTTTGGCTTCGTAAATCTCCAGCATTGCTGGACATCCAACAGTAAAATGGCTGATAAACATTCCAGATATCACACATCTGATTGTGTTGCTACAAAAAATAAAAATATGATATAAATATAAACTTCTGAAATTTAAAAAGGTAAATCTCCAGACAAAATTGATTGCATTGTTGTATGTTCAACAAAGTTAACATAAACTGAAAAATAAAAACTTTACTGCATCAAATCTAAAGGGATAGGACATAGCTTTCTTTATATATTTGAGTATATATGTTTGTATATACTGTACGTATATAGTTTTTATGATGGAGTAAACTTGGCAATTAAAGCAGAAAAGCACTGGCACTCATGCATTTTTTTTTTTTTTTTTGCACAAAGCTAACGTGTAGCTCTGACGGACGTTTCTCAGTCGCTGCCTCCACACAGCTTCAGCAGCAGTTTCTTGTAGTCGCCTGACGTGTCGCCCTGTTGATGACAGTTAGATAATAAAAACAAAAATCAACACTGATTAAACCGACAGAGGCAGCAGTGGATCAGAGCCACAGCTTCTGTGAGTGGCCGTGATCCTGCTACTGTCAGAGTTACAGTTCTCATTTTGACTCAATACTTCATAATCTACAGATTAAAATCAGCAGTTTTCCTTTAAGGAAGTATTTATAGTTTAGTCGAGTCATTTCTCAGTGGCCCAGTAGCAAGGTTCACTTCTTACGAGTGCAAACGGTGCCCTCTTGTGGCCATGATGATATGGCTTATATTTTTGACAAGTTTCTAAATTAAGTCACAGGACCAGCCAAGTCACTAGAATAAGCCTGACTTATTGTCAGGAACACACAGTAAATCTAACTGCAGTACTGCTGACAAACAACAGGATCCAAACTTCTAAAAAACGGACAAACACTTTTGTGGGACATCCTCAGTGTAAACCTCAGGATTTTAGGGAGATACTCACAGAGATGTGCGTGTACAGGGACTTTCCGTAGTTTTTGACATACTCCCGACGGATGTCCAACATGTCCACCTCAGAACGGGAGACCATGATCCGGATCAGGGTTGTGTCCTTGGTACCAGCTCCCTGAAGATGAGCATTGATGTCAGTGAGTTGTTCCATGTGGGTCTAATCTTCTCAGTAAATACTGACACACTGACTTACCTTCATGGCTTTGTAGAGTCTCTCAGCGAAGTAGGCTGGGGTGTTCTTAATACACTTGACTGAAAGACAGAATCTTTATTATGACACGTATAAACACTTGAAATAAAAATCAAGAATGAGCTTGAAAAGGAGTGAATGAACAAAATGAAACAAATGTTTAAATATAAAATGTTAAAATATAAAATAAATACCATAAACAAGCAAACAAAAGTTTTCAGATCAGTTTGAGGATTAGTCACTGTTGTTGTGCTGCATGTACCAAGACTGAGCCTCTGACACAGGAGCTTGTTCTCAATATTTCCTAGGTGCAGGCTGCCAACAGAGACAGTCTCCAGTGAGCTCTAACAAAGTCAGTTCTCTCTAACTCCAAACCATTACTTTGAAGTGACGTTCATCAATAACTAGAAACACTACAAAAGTCCACTTATCAAATCATCATAATTGGAATCTTTGTTTTAATAGTTAAGTGCACATAAATAAATGATTAGTGGAGATGATCCTTCAGTCCAAATATTTTCTGATTCACATTGCCCTCTAGTGGACAAAATAAATACAGCAAATTTAAAAAAATCTGAAAAATAACAACAACAAAAAACACATTGAGAAATATTTAAAAAAAGATTGCATTCTTCACTACAAACACACACAGGCAGAGATTGGATGTGAAAACTCCAAACAAAATGGAAGGACAAAAACGTGTTACTGTACCATCAACCTGAGATGTTGGCAAAAAAAAAGAAAACAGAATTCTTTTAACAACAGTTCATTTGATACTGGTCAGATTTAGAGGATATTAGAGGGTGTGGAGGACGATGTTCACAGGGTTCAAGTGTCTGTGTTGAATCAGAATAGGATAACTGGGAGTCCTGTGTGTGTGTGTGTTCTTACCCACTGCCAACATGCCACTCTCCAGGTCTCCAGACATTTCTCTACAGATGCTCTTCTCTATGTCTCTGCCGCTCATCTGCTGGTACTCCAGGAAAACTATACACACACACACACACACACACACACACATCAGTATGATCTGACATTCAAGATTCAAAAAAGTCCCTCTCTGAATGAGGTTACCTGTTCTGAGATGAGGAATACTCCTGGCACACAAAATGGCATTGAACTTGGACTCATCTGTTCCCAGCTTCATTTCTCCTGCAGCGTAAAGAGCCTGAGAGGAGACGAGAGCACACGTGACTAAAACACACACCTCTACATTCTTAATAAATCTACTCTACTGGGACAAACTCAACTAATTCTGGTTGGACAGGAACTACTGGTCCATGGCTGCTCTGTCTGGTCACTTTGTGTCTCCCAATTTGTTATACCACCAAACTGAGTCAAGTCACCATGGCCATGACACTTATTTAATTTAAATGTATTAACCATGAGTTACAATAATAATATTTATTGAGATTAAAAAACTCGTATATAAGAGTGACATGTCCAAGACTTAAAAAACTCGTATATAAGAGTGACATCATCATCATCATCAGCACATCCTAACAATACACAAATAAAAGGTCATGAGTCAGAGGTTTACCTGTGCGTCCTGTTTAGCCACAGAGATGTCAACATGTGGTCTTTCATCACGATTACCCTGTGAAGAAAAGAATAATTAAATCCAATCTTTCCTGGTAAAAAGAAGAGTTTCCATGAAAAGCACTTAGTAAAGTGGTGAATTTGGGTGTGGGTTCAAGTCCACTCTAGGTGTTTTTATAAAAGACATTTTAAACTTAAAATAAAACATTTACATCACATTTTGTTTTGGCCAAGGACAAAAGATCACATTGGAAAAAAGGTAAACAGTTACAAATCACATTTCAAAGCAGTTACGAGGACAAACAATATTTATTTATGCATAAAGACAGTGTGGCGTATGTACCTGGGCCAGAGAGATCAGGAGTCTACGGAAATGACCTGAAGTGTCTCCACTAATGGCGTCCTCCAGAGACCTCTTATATTCTGACAGTGAAGAAAACGTAGATTAAACTTTTTCTGTCATTGCACTTGTCACAGGTACAGAATGAAGACATTAATATAAAGTAAAAACACAAATTTAGATGAACTACATCATCAGATGTGATAGTGATTCATAAACAAATATAACTCTTGACAAGTAGACACTGATGTGGGACAGCTCCCTGGACACAGGGTGGCGCTGCTGTGACATAAACAGAGCAGTGACAGCTCAGTCATCTTATCATCATCTATATCATCTCACCTTGTTTGTAAATTCGGTTTATCTCCTTGATTTCAGCGTTGGAGCGGGAAGACAGGATCTCGATCAGACAGGCCTCGTCGGTTCCTGCTCCCTGTGAGAGGAAAACAATAAGACAGATGTTTCTCTCTGCTCTTCATCCCTTTCTTTTTCACATGGCTCTTTAAATCCTGTCACATGTATTTTACCTTGATGGCGCTATTGAGCTCATAGGCATCAAACTCAGTTGGACTCTTTATCATGGCCATGACCAGCTTCCTAAAGTCTCCAGACAGTTCAGAGTGCAGATCCTTAATCAGGTCCTAGATGATCAAATAACTGTGTGTCAGTACTTCATAGGAACACACTGTGAAAAAACCCAAACACCTGAACTGTCCCTTTAAAACCCGACCATGAACAGGAACTGTTACCTTGCCGTAGGAGGTTTTGTAAGCTTTGAGCAGAGGAACACGCTGTTTGCTGGAGCGACTCCCCAGTAGGTTGATGATGGCCTGCTCATCAGTTCCTGCACAGATGAAGTAAAGACACATGTACGTGTAAATACTGGACCATTTGTTGTGTCAGTACTGACACAGTATTCACAGTGTTGACCGATTAGCAACAACAAAGCTCACATGTGGTAATAACAGTAGTATTTCTGAACATACAGTGAAATCCAATCCTCTGGATTCTAACACAGCTGCCCAGACAGTTTCTATGTAATTAAATATCAAATCTCTTAACAAGTCGTGGCAGGAACAGTGAGGCACGCTTGAAAGAAAGTTCATTCTACTCACCAAAGCCCTTCATGGCCTTTCTCAGGACCTCCACGTCCTTGAGTGGATCAGCTCCAGGGAAATCCTTGATTGTTCCTCTGAATCCTTTCTGATATTAAAGATAAAATTTACCACCATCAAACAAAGTTGATGTAAACTAAGGTTCTGTCTATATCATGTCCATATCGTCGGCTACAATGCTACGGTTTTATGGACAACTTCATTGTAACTCTGCTGTTCAACATATAAATTATATTATATTTAAAGTGATTATTTTTAACCTGGATTAAAAAATAAAGGTTATTCCAAGATCCTCACATTGACAGGTGGCGCTATTGGCATGGCTCCTGCTCCATATCCGGGCATCGAGGGATTTGGTGAGGGGGCTTTTGGGTATCCTGGCACTGGGGCCGGTGCTCCACCAAAACCAGCCATGGGAGTATTAGGTGATGGGGCCTGAGGGTATCCAGGCTGACCCGGGAAGCCCATCCCAGGACCTGCAGGCATAGCGCCTCCTGGCTGTGGGTAAAGGCCATGTGACTGTTGGTTAGGGAAGGAGGCACCGTACCCTCCTGACAGAGGGGTGGGTGGGTACCCCCCAGGGGCTTGAGGGGCCTGTGATTTGAAAAGATTTGGAATGAAACGTCGTGCACAGATGCGCGGAGGCTGTTGTAAGCAAAGCAAAGACGGCTGGTCACACCTGGTTTGGACTAGAGGTGGAGAGAATGGTCCACTGTTTCAAACTGAGGTGACAGTGAGGACGAGCAGAGACGATGAGGAAAATGTTTTAGCCATTTAACAAAAATCTAAATAATCTAAGATAAAAAATGAATTTTAGGAAAATATCTGCTTTTTTTTTTTATCTTTCAACCACCCTTTTCTGACTGAACTGTTTGGATAAGTACATAATACTCACAGCAGCAGGGAGATGTTGAGTCTATTTTGCCTGTACAAATTATATCTTGGGAATGAAATGTTTTAAATACTTTATATGGCTTGACGTGAAGTACTCTGATGAACCAAATAAGGCAGCAATTCCTCAGTATGTTACATGTTGCCTTGAGCTTAAAATGCTTCTTTTCCCAAAGGGCTGTGACATACAGTAGAAGAGTGTGTACTTTACAGAAAGTAGTTACATATACTCATATCTGCAGACACAGAATTAAAAATCACAAAACAAGGAGGTGGACTTATTCCAGAAATATTCCAAAGATATGTCACACAAGTCAATAGTTAAGTGGCTCACATCTGTTGTTCCTCATGTCACCACTAGGATAAAAGAATCTCCCTTTAATGTTTCTGCTGTTTTACACAATCAGAAACTGTCCAAACAAAGTGTGGCTTTGACTTTTAACAGAGTTGAAATGATACAAGTTAACAAAAGAGAAAAGTCTTAAACAGAAGCACAAAATAAGGTTTACAAAACATGCATTAGAATCAAGTATGAAGTGTGTTTTTCATGCAAATGATGAAATGGGTGCAGAGAGAACATGGCCATGCTACAGGGTCAAAGGAGGGAACCTTGGGAGAAATCTTACCGTAACTCTTCCACAAATTGCTGTGCAATTCATTCTAACTGGAATATTTATTGCCATCGTCTACTGATATCATTATGAATTTATATCATGTTCCATATAAATACACCCAACAGTCCCTGATGTGCAGGGAAATTATGTTGGTCTTGAAACCAAAAACTTACCATTCCAGCATTGAATCCAACGTTGGGATAACCACCAGTAGGTCCACCGCCCCATTACACTGAAGAAGAAGAAGAAGAAGAAGAAGATGATGACAACATGTCAGGCTGCATCAACACTGCTGTGAACTGTACTGTATTTGTTACAGTAATGACCACCAGCTGCTCCAGATACCAAGTGTATACTGTTATGATCAGGAACATTATTTGACACAACTCTAAAAACGCACCACCTATTAAACAAAAGTTTTAATCAAATCTTTGTTAATCAAGAAAATATTTGCATGACTTCTGACAAACAGACATGGTAAGAGCTGCTGTCTTTTAGGGAAACAACCGTTTTTTAAATTTCCATGTAGTTTACATGCAGGTGAAAGAATGGTGGACTGAGAATAAGAGCACTGTGAACGAAGCACCGTGAGGCCTGCTTCTCCTAGCAACAGCAGAGGTTTGTTTGTTTTCAGTGAGGGAAAAAAACTCCACTCTGTCCACAGTCAGTCTCATGATTGCTGTTTCCCCACACACAAAACCGTTTCACTCTTTCTATGATCCCAAACAAAGTGTCAGGATGGTAGAATCAGATTGTCTGTGTTCATGCAGACAGACTGACGTGTTAGAAACAAATGACTGGTATTAAAGTCACAACAGCTGAGTTAATCCATTTAATGCAGAATTCAGAGTTTCTTTTGGGAAATGAAATCACATTTTAGCAGGAAGGTTCCCTGTATTTCAATGTTCTTCTCTCAAATGTTTCACCACTTTTGTGTGGACTCTGCTAAAGACTCCCATGTAGCTGTGCTGTGTCCAGACCTACCTGTAGGTGGCCCTTGTGGGTAGCCTCCAGCCTGAGGTGGATAACCTCCTGATTGTGGTGGATAACCCCCGGCCTGTGGAGGGTAACCCCCGGCCTGTGGAGGGTAACCCCCGGCCTGTGGAGGGTAACCCCCGGCCTGTGGAGGGTAACCCCCGGCCTGAGGAGGGTAGGCACCGGGTTGAGGTGGGTAGCCCCCTGCCTGGGGAGGATAGGCTCCTGGCTGAGGTGGGTAAAGACCGGGCTGAGGGGGATAAGCTCCTGGCTGCGGTGGGTATCCGCCTGCCTGAGGGGGGTATCCAGGGTAGCTCATTGCTTTAAACATCAGACAGAACACAACACAGTTAAATAGCGTTCACTATTTAGGTTAATCATTAATCAGCCCAGTTCAGGCAAACCCATTTTATCTTTGAATGATTAGCAACACTGCTCTGTTTACTCAGGGGGATGTGGTGCTACTTAAATATCTCAATCATTTCAGGGGTAAAAAAAGTGCTTTCAGCAGCACATGTCAGATTAAGATAAGATGTACTTTTCTTAAACCACAGAGAGAAGATTCAAATTAGCTAAACAGAGGAAGAACAGATGCAAAACGTAAGACAAGATACACAAGAATGTAGAAATACTGTTAACAAAAATAGCCAAATATTGACTTATAGAACATAAAACATAATAAAAACACAACTGGTAATATTCTGTTCATCCAGACTGGGTAAAGGTAAGGACTCTATTATATTCTGTTCCAAAGTGTGAATTGTTTTGAAATTATGACGACTATAATTTACCAAATTGTGTCCCTTTGTTTCAAATAGACTTACATTTATTAAGTATTATTAAGGTGATTGTTTATGTGACATTATCTGCAAACTGTATTTTAAGAGAAGTGAAATAAATGTGTGAAATAGTTCAATGGTCCATATGGCTTTGGTCATGAGACAAAAGAAGAATGTCATCTTCCACTGGAAGAACTGAATCACAGCTCCCTTTGCACCGACTAGTAATTAGTAGTATTACCAGTACTTACTTAGTACACTGTACTTGGTTAGTACACTGTTAACCGTTTGATACAAGCTCATGCTAACACTCCTCCTGTCAAAATCCCGTACACATGAATGGATGTTGTGACGTCATTTGTCGTCGAAGGAATGTCATTTCGACAGCGGAATAACCGAATCATGTGTATCTCTGGTTTAGCTTCTGGCCTATATGTGTTTATTAAAAACAGTTCCTCGTAGTTACAACACAGTTGCTGTTTGCTATTAGACATTGCTAACACAGCCAGTGTTATCGATCTACTCGTTTTTTAGTTCTTAAAGCAGTAAGATAACGAACAAATAGACTTCAAACTGTGAGACGTGAGCAAATAATAATAATAATAATAATAATAGTAATAATGAGAAACTTTGTTTTGTTGCAAAAAAAAAAAAAGATTTTAAAATCACCCTCAAGACGTCTGCTCTGCAGCTGCTTTACTTTACCGAGCTCAGCTAACGTAGCATTTCATGCAGGGGAGTTATACGTGGATTAATTAGCAAAAATAACGTCAGTTTACAAAACTAAATGTTAACGAAAACGACATTGTCGAAGTATTAAAATGTAACAACAAACGTAGTGATATAAAAACTGTTTTCAAGCTCTGCAGTACGTCGACAAAATACGACTTCGGAAGAAAAAAAACGGCTGCTAACGGCTAACAACTGTTCCTTTGAGTTCGCCTTTGAAAACACCACGTCTCGGTTGTTTTTCGTTTTGTTTTAATTTAATAAACGACTTAGTTCTGTTTTTACTCACTTACTGTTTTCGTTGACTTTTTTTTCCCCTGCCTGTCGTTTCCTGGTGTGGCAGTCGAAGTAGTTTGGCCGTATTCAAGTAGAGAGGGTGGGACTCAGAGTTTCCATTTATAGAGAGACAGCGATCACCACCTACTTTGGCTTCCCCACAAACTGAAAGGTGACAGACCGGTGTCATGGCTTCCCCACAAACTGAAAGGTGACAAACGGGACGGAAGGTGTCCTTGTGACGTCACAAGTAAACAAACACGTGGATTTATTTTTTTTTTTTGGTGGCACGATGGAAACTGTGACACACGGACGTCGTCTAACAAAGCGGTTGTCGATATTTTATTGCACAGCATGTAAAGATTCTTTTCTCCCAGTCATTGACATACAGTACATGTTAGTGGAGACGAAGGGTGGGGCACAGGGGCGACCCCAAGGCCCGAGGTGGCCAGTAGGGGGTGGGGGGTGGGGGTGGACGGCAGAGGGCAACAAAAAGTAAATACGACATACTTTGCTATCTGTCCACTGATGTTAACAACCAAAAAAAAAAAAAAAAGCATATAAAAGCATATATGTTCTTTGTTCTTACACAATTTAAACGTTATGCCTGTAAAACCACATGATTCGAAAGTTTGATGGGAGATATAGCTTAAATGTATGACCAAAATATGTGTGATTAATGGATAAATTACCCCACAAAATAGAAAACATTATAACTTATCAAACATTAACCCGTTTTCTATTTTTTAAAATAAAACAATTAATTCACAAAAAAAAAAAGAGAAAATGATGCCAGTTAAACTGAAACATTCTTAATAAAGCATTTATGTTCTTTGTTCTTACACAATCAAGTAAAAATCAAGTAAAAAAGTGTCAGAAACAGACAATAAAATGATGATGTAATGGTGTCACCTGAGCGACTTGTTTTACCTCACACCACGTCACTTTGGCCTCCAACTTTTTCCAAGATGTCATTTCAGTGACTAAACCTTTATGGTACACACCTGATAACATGGGCATGTCTCTCGTGTAAATGTACTTGTAGAACATATACCACAAGAGGGAGCCATTAAGCTTTTAACTTACAATGCTAAGGTTTACTCTGTAGCAGATGAACTTGAAGAATTTGGCATTGATTTCTTTTATATATAGCCAAAAAGAACAATACTCTTTTCAATAGTGTCTTAATTTCTTTTTCTTTCTTAGTTCAAAGTTTTTCAGGCAGCAAAAAAGAGAGAAAATATTATTGAAAGGATATTTAGTTGGGTGTGTGATGAATCAGTGACTTCAATATAGGTGGTTCCTGCCCTTGTCTTCACTGGTTCGATTCCTAATTCTAATTTATGGGTCTTCTTTTTCTTTTTCGTCTCAGACTAGACAATGTGCACTGTATAGTGTGGGCCTCCTGTCAGTGGCCACTGACCTGATCAACATGAGGTCAACTATGAAGGAGATCACCCTGGAAAACCTATAACGTTTGGCAGGGCTTTGAGTCCAAATTTGTTTCCTAAAAACTGTCAATGAGTGATCCATTGGTGTCCTGGACTTCTTGGCTGCACGTGCTGAAATATTCACACGCACAAGACGCCGATTGGCTGGCGTCCTCTGTGACGTAGAGACGCTCTCATTCCATATGCAGAGCGCCTCTCCGTGGCCGCTGTAATAAAGGCAGATAGCGGACCATGGGGAGCAGAGGGAAACTTTTTCATACAGACATGTCAGAGATATGACTTTCCAGAGACAGCCAAGTGGGACGAGGCTCCCGGCGTGAGGAGGAGAAGCAGAGTAGGAGAAGGAGGAGAGGATCGAGTAGCGGAGCTCAGCTGTGGCTTCAGCCGGGGATCAGGACAGAAAATTAGGGGAGAGAGTTGGAAAGAAAACGTCAGGCTTGGCCGTCCATGCTGAAAGATGAGCCTGTTGTCTGCCATAGACACCAGCGCCTCCGTGTACCAGCCTGCGCAGCTCCTCAACTGGGTCTATCTGTCCTTACAGGACCCGCACCACCAGACCAGCGCCTTCGACGCCTTCAGACCGGACCCCAACTCCTCCTCACACCCGGATCTCAACTTCAGCAAGACTCCCGGAGCTGCGGAGCTCGGCTCGTCCCTCAACTCCAACTATCTCAACAACTTCTTCCAACTGCAACGCAACGAGGTGACGACTTAGACTTTTTACTATAATTATTGCTTTTAATTGTATTTATATTAGCCATGTCTGGACTGTTGCCAACTTTCTATCTTCATTATAAACGATCACACGGATTTACAGACGCCAGTATTAGAAATGAAGGTGTCGTTGATTTGGAGATAGCTACATTTTCTATATATTTTCCACCACATTCCATTAAATGACTCGATAAAAATGTATTGATTGGCTTTGCGATTCCTGAGTAGAAAATTGTCCATTCCGGCTTCTGTAGCACACACGGCTCCGATGACGTTTTCCATGTCGGGCATTTCTTGTAAAACAATTGTATATCAAAGTTTAGAAAATGATTATTTAAAAAAATAGTTTGTCCTGAAATGTTAAAAAACAAGTTAAGTATTTTTGTCATGTTTAATAACTAACCCTTTAGTTAATAAACATAACAAAAAAAGCAAAGTTAGCCAAAATAGACAAGTGCAACAAAGCTAAATGTTACAAGCTAAATGTACAAAAGCCATTACGCAAAAATCAATAATAAACAAACTCCTAAGACTAATTGGAGTTTTTTAAAATATAGATAAAAAAACATATAGACAAATATTGTTTGTTAAAGTAGTGTCAGCGTTGCAATAAAAAACAAAACAAACAAAAAAACCCATTGTAAAGCTAGCATATAGCTAGAATGTTGTTAAACATGTGGCAAGATATGTCTGAACAACAGCTAGTCCAAAAATATAGAAACAATTGATAGACGTTAGTTTAAGTAATTCTGCTTATTTTGTGCGTTTCGTATTATTGGATTTACTTAAACAACATTAAATGACCAAAACAGCTAACAGTGCATTTCATGAGAAATAAGTGTTTGTGGGTTATGAGGGTTTTTTTCTTACATCTGATATTATTCTTCCTTCTTATGGAGTCAATTGTCATATAAGATTTCAGTCTTCAAGTGGCACATCATAAGAAGTCACTAGGACTGTATGTTGGTGTGCAGCCTTTATGGATCATGACCCAGTCTCTGGGACTGACTCTAAGTTTGTGGGTGCAGCAAAAAAGGGGGCGTGGTCAGATACAGCACAGTTCTGCAGTATCAGGTTTGTACATTATCAGCATGTTTGTCCCTAAAATTACTCCTGTGCTACAAAAATAGATAATATGTAAACAAGGAGCGACGTTGTTTGCATGAGCAGGTCTATTTGAAGAAGAGAAGAGACAGCAGACCTCAGCAGGAGGCTGCACAGAAGCCTGCTGGGAAATCTGTCTGCCTTCAAACATTCAGTGTCTCTGGAAATCACATAAACACTCTGAGCAGAAGTTCAGTGGACAGTGTGCAGCTAGTGAGTGAGCAAAGCTGCCCAAAACTTCATGTTCACGTTTTTGTTTTTTACAAGGAACTCAATGGTTCTTTCTTGGAAATGTTTCCATGTGTTTCTTGCTGCGGTGAAAGTTCTGTAAAAATTATGCAAAAACGTTGTTGTGTTTTTGTGGATTCCTTCTTTTACTGGAAGTATGAGGAGGTTTGGTCAGGAGAGAAAAAAAACTGTGGGTGTCACAAATGTTGTAAAAATATTGAAGCTTAATTGACCAGGTTAGTCTCATGTGACTAACTCTCTCTTTTAGAAGAGAGACGTGACCTAACACAGGTCAAACAAAAGAACAACAAACAGTTGACAAGTGCATAAAATCAATTGACCTGGTAACGGATAAGAGGATGAAAATGGATGGATATATGTTTTTCTTTCCTGATGTAAAAACCAAATTAGGTTTTAATTTAGAGAGAAAGTTGCAAAATAATCCAAACTAATTTCAACTAGTTCTTTATAGCATTGCCTCCCAGTCCAATGAAGAACAAACTGTTTTGGGGACTTTAAAAGTTGGAGAAGCACCAAGTTCATTTGACCTTTCTTAGTTCCTGACATTATCCCTAGTTCCTGGTACTAGTTTGTGAGGTAGAAAAGTGCCTTTTGTTTTATGTTGTTGTAGGACTTGATTCTTTAAACTAAAGAAAACACCATCGTAGGACTGATGAAGTTCCTACCATCCAGTACCAGTTCTGGTGCTGACCTCGGAGGCCCCTCTGTTTTTGAAGTAATTCAAGACGAAACCGTCCTGAGACCATCCCTGCTGCACATACACATTAGTCATTACATTACACACCATTGTGTAATGACATTCAGTCCACACGAGTCTAACCCCAGTCTGGAAACAGTTTGGGGAGTGCTGGTGGAGGTGGGGCGGGGGTGGGGGCAGTGGGTGCATTTTGCAACCTCCTGTAACGGCTCCAGCCAAGTAAAATAAACAAGTGCAGGGATCTGATTATGCAACGAGTGATGCCAAATGTGCTTGTTGTTGTTGAAGTGAAGGATCACGCAAACAAGTCCAGGACAAAAGGAGAAAAATTAATGGATTAAAAAAGTCGGCTGTCAGCTGTGGATAAATGTATTTTATGTTCCTCCCTCTCTGCCTGCTTTCATTTCACTGTTGTATCGTGTGTATTTTAACAGTGTGTGTCAGTGTGCACTGAAGAGGAACGGCTTAAGAATTAGCCTGTGGCTAATACACACGTGTTGGGTGGAATATTGATGTTTTTGAAAGAGGCTTCTTTGCCCCTCTGATATTTATGACCAGTGAAAGCTTTAGTCAGTTTTTACTGAATTTTAATTTTTGAGTAATGTTTTCCTTTTTCCGGCTATGACTAGGTCGTGGCTAACGAGTGGCTAGTTTTCTTTGACTTGTTTGGTTCTGCCCTCAGGTCATCGCTGCATTATTATTATTATTATTTTTATTATTATAGTTTGTCTATATTTGCTCAAACATTCAACGTGTCCTGACTATTTTGTAAATGTTCATTGTCGCTTGCTAAAAGTTGATCTTCATTCACGTAATTTAGCCCTTGCTTTGCCTTTCTTTGTAGCAGATTGTTGCTAATATTTTATTATCTTCATCATTGATCCATTTTATGTTACGGACTTTTACCCATGCTGCCTGTTTAATCACCTGTTTTTAATTAGTTTGATTGTCTGTGATGATTTCTCCCGTCATGATGTCGTCTCCACTGCCGTAGGCATGTACGTTTTCTGTACGTTATCTGTACGTTTTCTGTACGTTATCTGTGCTACGGAAGCCTAACTGGACACGTTTTTGCTGGCAGAGAGTTCCATTTCTGTCCAGTTCGATTCCTTTCAAGTCTGAGTAGAAGATCAAGTTCTTAACATGACATTAATAACTGTGGATCTGCAGATAATCTTGTGTGAAACAAGCTGTGAATCCAGGTTGTGGTATCGCTGCATACCGCAGCTTGGCGTTAAAGACATCAGTGTGTGTGATTGCTGCCTGCTGTTCAACGCCTCACACCTGTAGCTGTGAAAACACTCACACACACGTGTGAGTGTGTGTGTTTTTGTATGCAAATCCAAACAAAATTAGCTTTTTTGTGACCTGTGTATGGTAACCTTTGACCACAGCCCTAAACCTGATTAAAATGTTTATCCTCTGATCATTCAGTAACACTGGGCACGTGCCAAGGAGTAAACAGGAAGTAGATTTCCTCCGCTGCGGTTGATGAGTTAAACCCCTTTTAAAGGCCACTTTAAAAAAAAACACTAACATCTGCTGACATCTGGCTTTTCTCTGCAGAGGGAAAAGAAACAACTGTGTCAACCGTTGATGCAATAAATGTGGGTTTTTATCAGCTGTCCTTCTGACTCACAGGTGGACGGGTCATTCAGCAACAACAGATACATTCACTCACTTTCTTGTTCTCTTTATACACCGGACGATTTTTTGGTTTTTGTCACAGAAGTTCATAGAGAAGATCAGTGACTTTAGCCCAGTGCATTAGGGGATCTGTTGGTCTACTGTGACCTGAGGTGAACCAATAGGAGTGCCTTTATCTGTGAGGGAGCCTGTGATTGGTTAAAATGGCCCATCATGGACTGATGTTTTTCCAGTAACCAATACTTTGAAGTGTAATGTTTCTCACCTGACCTCATTTTTATATAGCTAATATTTGATATATATATATATATAAAAACAACTGGTAAAAGTAAACGGAAAGTTAACGCACTGCCACGACGGTCATGTGATCACGTCGGTCTTCTAACTTTGAAAGCACTAAAAGTCAGAGCTTTATCTTCATCTGCAGTGAGATTGGCTTCCTAACCAGCTCCAGCTTCGAGACTCGTGTTCATCCATTACACAGAGTCATCGTAAATCAAACTTTATGGCGCTGCGGCTTCTTGAGTTTTCCTTCTAGCATGTGTTTTATGTGTTCTCTCTGTTACTGTGCTGCAGTCTAACGGCTCTGTTCAGAAATGTACACGACGTGTATAGAACAGTCCTTTTTAGGATTGTTTAAATATTTACACAAATAAAACGAAGAGAGAAACTCTGCTGAGTTCATGTCCTTAGAACTGATTAAAAAATTTGACTCCATCTTCCTGTTGGCAGCCCGGTTCAACCCGGGCCGCTGGATGAATTTGAATGTGAAAAAATCCACAAACCTTTCATGTTAGTGAAGTTTTGTCAAATTATATTAAATATTATAATTATATATTCATTCAATATGAACATGTTCAATTAAACCTGAGCTTATTTTAAGAAAAACATGGACCAAAATGAGTTTGACACCCCCTGCTGTAGGCACTAAGCTGTAACGTATTTGAAAAAATACCAGATACTGAAAAACTGCTGAACTAACAGTTAGAAAAAGCGTTGACTGTTTCCATACAGTCGGACTGTTAAACCGTCTGACGTTAAACCGTCAGGATCAACCCTTCTGTTGTGTCTGCACTGAACAGAGAAAAAAAAACCATGAATGAGCAGAGGAACTGCAGGCTGCAGTCTTTCACGTTATTGATATTCATAGAGCATCTTCCCAGAATCCACTGGGGCCCGTGTGGCCGTGTGCAGCCTGCAGACGCTGACCGCGGCCAGTTCACCACCGTCCAGTCCAGCTGACAGAGCTGATGTTCCACAGGCCGAGGAGGGAACTTGCCTGCTGACTTGTTTACAGTGACTCATCCTCAGTCAAGTCCTGTCTCCCTCCGAGGACACGCTCAGTACTTTTCCAGCTCGTGAACACAGCTGGGCCTCTGTCCACATGTTCTGAATTTAATGATCTGGGAGGGTTTTTGTGTCTCGCACAAGAGAAAATGTGACAAAAAAGGAAATTGGTGATTCATACTGGCACTGGCCGACATTCAGAGCAGGAAATCAATATTCAGTGTGATTTTCTTAGAAACAGCTCATTGGCCGCAGCCTTGTTTATCTGTCCTTGACCGCAGAAAGCTGAACTGTTGTGGTGGAACCGATTTAAACCAACTTGTAGTTTCTTAGAATAAAAGGGATAAAATCACACCTCCAAAAATATTCTAAAATCTTTCAGACAAACCGTGAGCCAAATCCAGCCAGACAAACTTTCCAATCCACCTCGAAACTGGATTCCAAAATAAATATGAATGAATAATATAAAGACAAAAAAAACCAAAAAAATATGCTTAAAACCTGCTACTACAGATGGTAAATGTGAAGGTTGTGGTGTGGAAACCTAACACTGTCCAACCTTCGTCTTACAGGCATTAAACAACAACGTGTATAAGAACGTTTCTCCGTACGGCTCCCTGAACAACATCGTCGATGGACTCAACTCCCTGACGGACCATTTCTCAGACCTGTCCCTGTCGTCAGAGCCCAGAAAACCCAACAAAAGACCACCACCCAACTACCTGTGCCACCTGTGCTTCAACAAAGGCCATTACATCAAGGACTGCCCTCAGGACACACACATACCTGTACACAGTGCTCTGAAGACAGTCAGTAAAAGGTTGAGGTACAGTTGAGTAACTGAACTAGACCAAAGGACTCTTTGGTCCGTTTGAGACATGCAGTGTTTCCTGTTAGCAAGTTAGCTTGCAGCCAGTGATGAATTGATGGTTTGTAAGTGAGATTAAACTCTGCTGTGCTTTAATCATGTAAACTGAAAAAAGTCCAGCTCCGAGTCTGATTTGTATTTTTCTGTGTTTGAGTCGGACTAGTTTGGGACGTATTTTTGGATTTCTCTGATGTTGTGTACATGTTGACTTGCATCTCTTAGGAGACAGAGCTGTTTTCCCCCAGATTTTAACTTTAAGGGCTTCACACCAGGACCTGATGGTAATAGACGTTGTGCTCAATTTAGCCCCGGCCTCGTTGTCAGCCTCCCCCGTTTTGGATCTGCTTTGACCTACTTGTTGAACAGGGTGGCCTCTGTCTTCTGCAGTGTGAACGTGTGTGTGTGTGTGTGTGTGTGTGTGTGAATCTTAACTGGCCGATACACAGACACACTACAGTACATGACTTCAGTGTCTTATACCCATGGTAAATAAATGGTTTAGGTTAATTTCAGGGTCAAAGGTGAAGCTGTGAGTCTCAGCACATGGCTCATCATGCTAGCAGCGCTAACAGGTATCATGATGGTTACCATGTTAGTCATTTTGCTGTCAATACTAATTACATTTTTAAAAATTTATTTTATAAATATTTAGGTGTTAAAATCTGCAAAACAGGGAAGTTTAATAGAAACACTGTGAACAAAAACGCTGTTAAATTGTATAGATTGAACCGGTATATAAAAAACAAAGTGACCACACACACAGGCAGCGGTGTAGCAGGTGTTTCAGTGTCTTTGTAGCTAAAATCATCGACTTTCTTTGGCAAAATGATTGTGTTCACAGAGACACATAATTTAGAGAAAGAAAGTGAAGAATAAGTTCTTCAAACTCATTTTCTCAATGGACTTTGGTGAGGGTTCTAAAGCTGAGGTTCTCAGTTTAAGACCAAGTCCAGAAGCTGTCAGTAAATACACGGTCTTCGCAGGAAACAGCACTTACGCAACTATGGCTGTTTGTTTTTTTGTTTTTTTTTCCTGCATGTTGTTGAAGGAGGAATGGACCATGAAATTGCTGTGGTGTCAGTGTGGTGTGATAAACTTCATGCTCTCTGATTCTTTTGCATGGAATGGTAACGAGGAGCAGATGTGAGATTAAAATGCTTTGACTTGTTTTTTACGACACGTGAAGACTGATCTCTGGAGGCCGGTAAAAGACCTGCGCGATGATGAAATATCTCTCGGTCAGCTCCAAACTCCGATGGGTGGGAATTAGATCATCAAGTCAGAATTCCAGAGGGAAATGTTTGGACCGTACAGTATCATTCAACATGTTACATTTGCCCTTTTCCCTCCCTGTCAGGGGCATCCAAACTGTTTTCAAGGGGAGTCCAGATTGGATTTTGTAAAAACATTGGAGCTGAGGGTCAGCTGCTCCTCCTGTGATTGGTTAGACTGTGATTAAGATGTCATGTGATGAGTGACACGTGTTGGAACTGTTTTCATTCAGCACCTCACACTTGATTCTGAAAGATGAACTGGTGCATCTTCAGTAACCGCCCTGATAGCTACATGTTATCTAAGGTGATAGCTCATTGATTTTGGAAAATAATTAGTCAAGTGTTAGCAAAGAAAAGCTTTAACTTAACAGAAAATACAGAAAAATATTAGGGACAACTCAGTGACTGAATATAAAAGCAACAAACAGAGCTAACAGCGACGCCAAGAACTTGCTATCAATTATATCAGGGATATCTTTAAATATATATAAAATGTAAAATAGAAGTAACAATAACAGTTAGCCCTCCTGTTTAAAGGTGTAGTTTCTGATTTATTTCACTCTTGTCCAGACTTTCCTGCCAGAAAACAGAGGTTTTGTGGGTTGTACATTTTTACAGGTCTAATTCTGTTGATGATGTTCCTTTAAAGTACAGATCGGCCAACACTTGTTCTCTGATCACTTCGGTGCCCGTTTTTTTTTTTTTTGTGGTATCTGTCTGCTGTGGAATGTGTCTGAGGATAAATGCCCGTCTTCCCCCAGCAGCACTTTGTCCTGACCAGAGCTGCTTTGCCAGAGAAAACACTCCATCTTCACATTCAGGTCCAGGACAGGAAGTCACACTCTGATGACATGTGCAGTCCTTCCTGTCGTGTTTTCTCCCTGCTCTTTGAATTCTGTCCACCATGGATTCAGACAGATGTATTTATTATGACTCCGTATGTGTTAGTCCACTCTGTTGAACAGGCCTTTTTGAACGTCACACTTCATAATGCCGTCTTTAAAACATTAAGTAAAAAAACTGCTACAAATTAGCCAAAGGGTTAGTTAAAACTTGAATAGATACTGTAAAAAATAAAAAGTAAAAATAAAATGGAAAAAAGTCAAAACAAAACACAGAGTTAGCCAAAACAAAGCCTGAGTAACTGCTAACTAAAGTAAGCCAATACACGGTTCCGATTAGATTTGGTGAGTTCTGGCAGAACCACTAACAGGAAAATAAATGTTTCTCAACATTTGATAACAAATTCAAAGCCTCCTCTGGTGAGCAGCTCCACTTCTTCAACAGTTCTGTAGAT